TGAAACGCGCCCACGCGTCCCGCATACAAATACGCTACGTATCCTTTCATTTTTCACTCGAGCTATAAATCACGACCACCTCGGCCTCTCGAGTTAATCGTTCATTCGGAAAACTCATTAAGTCCCTCGTGAACGACTTATCTCCGCTAATAATTATGACGTTAATAACCTCGCCACTTTATTGTCTGCCTTCTTTAAGTCGCAACATGTGGCCAATATTTTTATTCAAACGTTCCCGCGAAAACCACGCTTGCTCTGTTCGTCGAGTATCCGTGGAATTATTCGAGATATGAATTTGCCCGTTTTTATAATATCGAATCGAATTATTACGGAAAAAAATCATCGAATTGATATTCGCAAATTAATAAGCGTGGAATCAGAAACAGCTTTCGTTTTTTTTACATTTACCAACTTTACTTAGGGGTCGTTAATTTTTTCGCACAACTTTTCACCCTCGATTCAATTCTCTCTCAATTTTCTCGTCTAGCGAGCACACGATCGTTTTCGCCGCGAATTCACACGCAAGTGCATGTAATCGTGAAGGAAAGAAACACAGGTCTTCGAAGCCAGAAGAATGATAAATTATAATACTGAAGTAGCGACTGGAAGAAAACACGAGGAGTATCGGCGAAGCAATTAAAGTCAAGTTAAAGCAATAAATCGAAACGGCGATACGGGGAACGCGCGATGCACGGCAAAATATAGTGGATTCATCAGGAAAGAAGCTATCACGGCTAACGGTTGATAGATGCAGCTTCCAAGAATAGAACGTCCTTAAGGTGGCTACGCTTGACCCATCTGGAATACTACCATTTGCTTTTCATTCTGGTTTTCTCATCGAGAACGTGTGAAAGAATCGCTAGTTCTCACATCGTGACAAAAATGAGAGAGAGAGAGAGAGAGAGAGAGAGTATGAAAAACGAAAAAACAAACTTGTAACTTAGTTTACTGTGTTTATCGCAACTACACGTATTTTTGTCGAGTTACGCGTTATGCATTATGCATACGGCTAATTTTATTTTGACGCGCGTCATAAACACTCATACCAACTCGGAGATAGATTATCGTCTCGTTTCACGATAACTCGAATCGAAAGCGGCGAGAAATGACACGGTTTCTGGGAACAAATTGCGATCGAACGAGCGACGATGATCTCGGATAAAACGAATCCTCTCGAGCCCCCTTGTTCGACCACGATGCAAATGTATCCCCATTATGATCCTAATTGCGCGCGCAACGAACGCTTGTAAAATAATCAAAGATGGCCGCCGTCTACAGTTTTCCTTCGTGATTAAGTTGCGTTTCGACGGCACGGGGCCACGGAACGCGGAATTTTTGCCGATTGTTTTGCGGAACGGCCTCGAATCAGTGGTAATTGATAACCGGTTTCTCGAGCTGGCTCCCTCTCCCGTGTCCAGAGTATCGAGACGACGCGCTCCTCCTTAATGAATTCACCTGATTGGACGCGTATCTTTCATCGCGTAGATGCTCGAAATGTTTGCGAATTACGAGCAAGAGAAAAACGAGAATCTCATCGATCTCCACGAAGGAGAGGCAGTGTTTGAGGAAGACCAAGCGTTACGTGGTAAAGTTAAACGTTACGTGTCTCGAATGCGGTCGCATTCGTGTTTAGAACAATAAAGAAAATGGCAAAGCGCGCGCGATACAAAAACGGCTAGCGGATTCGCAGTTAAGCATCGTCTAAGATAATTGCGACACGCTTAAGTACTTGTCACAATTTCACGTGGTCGCCGGCTTTCGCTGGCAACGATGAAAACCAACCGAGAGAGAGAGAAGGAGGGAGGGGGAAGAAGGTAATAATCGTTAGTCTCTCTCTATAAAACGACGTTGCGTCACACGGCCGAGTTTCTACACGTTTAACGACGATTGCTCCGACTATTCCGCGATCGATATCCCCACTCCACACCTATTCCCCGCTTCTTTCTCCCGTGTACGGATACGAAATTGAGTTAATTTCACCCGTCGCAGTTATTTCCATTAGAAAATAACAAACACGCTCGCTCCATCATCGTCCAGTGGCAATTTTCGACCATCACCGATCGAGCCGAGTTTACAATTGAATCGCTTGCTTTTACTACGGTTTATTCTTCTTTCAAGGAATAATACTAAGCTCCATCGATCCATCGATTGGCACACTTTCGTTCTTTTTTTGCGTACGCGAAGAAACACACCGTTTGCATTTTATTAGCGGCATAAATGAAAGAAAAAAAGAAAAGAAAAGGGAAAAGTATCATCGTGGAAAGAATCGGTGGTCGTTAAAGCGTCCTAGGGGAAGCAACAACACGGTTCTCGCCGCGTTTCTCTCGCATACAGCTACCCGTGGTGGTTGCTATCGCGAATATATATCCGTCGCACGTAAAGAAGAAATAAATTCCCAGCGGGCCGTAAAGAAATCCGTACCGAAGGCGTGCACCATCGGCTTGGTAGCTCGCCAACGAGGTTAGTGGGATTTGAGATTTTCGATAGCTCCTTCCTACACGTATACGGCCGTAACGTGTCGAGAGTCGAGGATAAACCGGCGTTCTCCTCTCGCGTGGACGCGTTCCTCCTCGTGTGCACGGGAATGCTCGATCGTGTGTCTCCTCCTCGGACTCCTGCTTCCCGTCGTCGCGTCGAAACCAAGAGAACGAGCCAACGGGCTTCTTCCTCCCTTCTTCCTCTCTCAGCTAATTTGCATGTGACTCGCGCGACCGAGTTCGATGCACCAAACCTTCCACAGCCTTCGCGGATGCTTTATCGCTCGAAGGAGAAAACGAGAGGCGTTTGACCGACCGTATTTCTTTCTTTTTTTTTTTTTTTTTCTTTTTTCGCCGCTTCACAATTTCTCGCCACCTAACGATAAATTTTTCGTTTGTGTTCCAGGTACGTATCGCCACGGCTTGTTGTACTTGTATTTACCGAAGATACCGTAACAGGGTTCCCCATTGTGTGAGAAGGTAATTTAGAGAGATTAATCGAGGCTGATAATACGTTATCACTTCGCGGAAAGCGTCGAGAGATTGTTACACGATTATCTATGCGGCAACCAGTGAAAGGTTACAAATGATTCCCTTCCTCTTCCCCTTCCTTTATTATTTTCACATTCTGATGTAATAACGCCAGTGGGTGTTTAATTTGTATTATTAGTCAATTTCTGGCAACGATATCTCGCAAGGACGCTGAGTCGACAGAAAGTCTCTCTGCGACTCATCGTGGCTTGCGTTTCGAAAACAATTCGTAGATCTTCCGCGATATTTGCACAACTTTGTTAAACTTTAACTGTTTCGGTTTTTCCACTTTTGAATCGATTACTCACCACGATTTTCTCTGTTGATTAACGAAAATCCAAGACGGCGTAGCGCATACCATAAGCGAGCGAATGGAAGTCCATAACACGTTTCACGGTTAATTGTTATTCATCGACGGTTGGCATCGATAGAAACGATGGATCCTTAACTGCGATCAATACACGCGTTAACCGATAGGCGTTTAGACCGGATGCATCGACCGTGCAGTGTACCGGTAGTTTTAGTTCCGTTCGGTTCAAAGGCGGCACGGGAAGACGGTATTAATAGTCTACGAGATTACCGCGAAGAGAGTTTGAGGGTATATACGTAGCAGTGGTCAACCGGTTGGTCGATTTTGGCCACTACTCTTTCCCTTCCTCCTCGAATCGACATCGATTTTTGCTCTTTTCGAACCGGGTCAGCAAACTGTGGCGACCGACGAAGGACGTCAAGGGAGTTGGTGTCTCCTCTTTGCCCGAATGCTTCCTCCTTTTCGTACACGCTCCCTCGCCAATGAGTGATGGGATGAAGTTCCAGGATGTGCATTTACTGGAAAGTTAAGGAACAAATTGATTATTTGCAAATTTCTTTGCATTTTTTTTATCTTATTTAGCCTTTATGCATGCGTGTTTGAAAAAAGATTTATTGTTTTTATTATATTTGACGGATGACTTGTTATCTCCTTATGTTATTTTTAGTTCCAATATCTCCAAAATTTTATTCTTAAATTTTGTAAATCAAATTTGCACAAGAGTGTTGATAAATTTCGAATCTTAAAATAAATATCTCATAACTCTGCATATAAATATTTCGATATTAAAATTAATAGAATCTTTTATAAATAATTACAATATAAACAAATTTTAGAAAATTATATAAAAGTATAATAAACAGAATTCCTATTTTATTTTAATTTTTCTACTTCTAATTGTTAAAAAACAATATTTGGTTTAAACAACATAAACTATGAGAATGTTTTTAAAGAAACTAAATAATTTTAAATAAATGGAAAATTTAATAAGACCGCTGTTCGATTCTACTTTGAGATATTTATAAAAAAATTTGAATCTTATCAATCAAAACTCTTGTTCAAATCAACTCGCGATACGTTCGATCCCATCGCTACTGGCCAAGCGCCTGCAAGCCCTTCTCCGGCTAGTTTTTTTTACTTCTTCGCAAAATTTGGAAGTCGCCCATCCCTTGGTTCGTTCGTGACGAGCATTCATTCCGACAACGATCCTCTTATTGGCATTTCGTGGCGTTCCGTGGCTAAATCCGGACCCCCGAAGAAACCAATACTTCCATACCAACGGATTTTTCGTTCCCTCCTCTGTTTCTCGTAATTTCTTTCAACGTGCCACGCAATTCTTATCTTCCTCCACCCCGTTATATATATATATATATATATATACACACCTTATATATTCAATTTTTTTTCTTTTTCAAATCATCTTTTTCAGCGAACTGAATCGAACTCGGTCGAATAGTTTACGAATGTAGTCTTGATGTACTTGGTTACAATGTTGCTCGATTCGAAAGAGAGGAAACGTCCGCTTTATTTTCGCAAAACATCAAAGAGGGATCCGTGGCTTGGTTTATTTGCGGTCGTCGATGGGAAGTTTTGAAATGAACCAAACTGGTCGGTCGGTCCGCATCGGCCATATTTCAACGATTGACAGCAGGAAGTTGGCGTGCGGTCGAGACGAACGATCGAGTCGACCGGTCCTCCTCCTCCTCCTCCTCCTTCTCTTCCTCCTCCTCCTTTTCTCCTCTTCTCCTTTCTATTCCATTTCTTTTTTTTTCTTCTTTTTCCTCTTTTCACCCGATGAATTCAGCTAACGCGCTCTTTTGTCCTTCTATCGCAATCACGTTCGATTATATTCGAGTTAATCAAACTGTCTTAAAGGATGTTTTTACACGATCATAAAGAAATACTTACTTACACACATTATCATGAGAATTCTGTTCCGGCATTTGTGCCCGCTTCTTCACGGTTTTCATTGTTGTTGGTAAACATACCTGGAAATATACCTGACCACTGGGCAAAGTTAGCAATAAAACTATTGGTGAACTGCAATGTGCAGACTGCAATGATTAAGGTTGATTCTTGGTGATGGTCGAAGGCACAGATCAAATCAGTCACAATCTAGAATTGAAAATCTTGATGGAAAAATTGTAAATTCAGATTTTATTAAAATTATATTTGTTGAATTTTTATATATTTTTTATATATTGTGTTTTTGAACTTACCCTTACAATGAATCTTTGGGAAAAAGAATCAGTTCAAAATTTCCAAGTTTTTTGTACGTCCACAAAATTTCGATTCATCCACTTTTTCGAGCCACGATTTCCTTTTGTGACTGAAATCATACAATTTACTGTAATTTCGTACAAATTATAATTTAAGTGCTCCACATTTACATTTCTTTTTCATTATAAATCATGCATACCGCAATCTTGATCGCTAACAAATCAATTCCACGATTAAAAGATTTTCATTTCACGCGATCTTACTTTCAAACTTGAATCTCTTTCAAAAGTCGTAGAGCCGTTTACGTTTGTGACGAATACGAAAGTAACAAACGATTGGCGTGAAAGTTTCACCCACAAAGGTGCAGCAAATAGTGACGTAATTAATTTAGCGAAATTTCACGCGATCTCCTCGTGGAAACAGCCTAGGAGGATCGGGAATCATCGCCGTGGTTAATGTCGCAATCGGCGTAGGGGCAAAAATTTCTGCGGTGCTCGACCGCAAAAGATTTCGAATGAAACGTTTCGAAGCGGTTTTGCGGGAATGCAGCCGATCCTACAAATTATAAAAATGTATTAATAGTATATATCGACAATATATTTTTGCCTACGAGATATCACCGAAATCCGCTCTCTCGCGACATTACCTTTTCGTACGGCCTTGAACGAGGCTTGGCTATTAAAGTAACGTCCGTTTAAAAAACTTGTCCTCCTAAAGAATTTAACCAGACTCTTCGTTCTTTCCGAGAAACGTAATTAAACATCATCGAGCATTCATATTTCCTTCTCTTTCGGTCCCGCTCTTTTAATGCGGCGGAGAGACGCGATATTCCACGTATTTTTCTCGGTTCATCCTGGATACACGGCCGCAAGCCGTATCAAGTGCGTGCATTGCGTAACGTGCGCGCTCGCCGCGTGTCCAAGTCCCCCAAGGCACAATGGCGTTAACGAGCGACAATCGACGAGAATACTGCAAACGTGTCGGCTTGACTCGCGCAATAATGCGTTTCTGTTGCCCGCGTTCACGCTCTCGCCGGCATGATTTTTCGCTTCTTCGATGACTCGACCCTTTCGCTCGGCCGGAAAAGACGATGATGCATCACCGACTTGGCCTTTCCAAGTGTGTCGTTTCTACGAAACACATCCTGCTCCATCTTGAGATTTACTCGAGTTAGCCTATCGGAGGCAAGCCGTTTTTTAATTCTCTCCCCCCGCGAAGGGATTAAATTTATCTCATTAGAGGGCTCGGGTATTATATCGTGGAAATCGGAGCGACTCGATGCCACTCGGTCGTCGTTAATTACACTCTGGCTGGCAATTAAGGAAATTAGCGGATAGGTAGGCAGAGACGGGCCGTCTCGGATGCAAATCTCCATTGTGCAACCGTTGCGTGCAACCGATCCGATGAAATTCGTTCCAGTTACATTCTTTGCAGCCCCGTTCTCTCCGATCCTTTATTGCGCAATTTGTTGTTGTGAAATTTCGTTCGTCTAAGAGGCGTTAGGATATATGTTCTTGAATGTGTCACGAGGAGGGCATCGGACGAAGTTAACGCGCGCAAGGTGCGCGGCCAACCACGATAACCGAGCAACAACGTTGCGTACAATGTCTCCAGCCGCGGATGTCGATGACCCTCGAACGTCGGTATCGGGACGAAGAGGACGAGGGTAGAAGAGGACGGGGAGAAGAAAACGAGGAGGAGGAGGAAACGAAAGAGTAGGAAGAAATGGCAGAAGGGGGCAGACGAAGATGGAAGAGTAGGGAAAATAAAAAGGCAAGCTCTCGGGAAGAGGTGGAAGAAGAGGTTCCTCGTAGACCGGACGGTGCGGTGGGTAGGAAGCAGGACGGGGTCGTCGGACCCGAGCGGTGTGTTTAGTAGTTAGGAAGCTAATGGATGCCTTAAAGGACGAGATGGATACACAAGCTTGTGTTGCACGACGTTGCAGACTCTCTGATCCCGGTGTTAGCACCGATTTCCTGGTCCGCCACGCTACACCAGAGGGCAACGAGCACTTGATGCTCTGCTCGACTCCCCTACCTCTCCTCTTGACCCTGGGTCGTTGATCTTGCACCAACCTACCAAAGATGCATATATATATATATATATAAAGTTTTAATGTAACGAGTGCCTACGCTGCGTAGTTTTTAAGTAGCACACCAGTTTCAAAGTTTTGTGGTTGATCCTCCCGGTCGTGGGAAGCATTCGAAACTACCATTGAAGGTGCACAGAGGCGAAACGTACCGCAAAGGGGACAGGAGAGCTCGATATGCGGATTTGCCTTCTTCTCGAAACCGTAAAAGCTCCAAACAGACACCCTGACGTGCTTCGCACCAATCCACCACGGTGAAAGTGTGTATGAAACTTTCTATGGAGTTGACTCGCACTAGCGCGTCGTTCAGCCTCGGTTAGAACTTCATTCCCCGATGAGAAGAGGGAACGAGACTCGATTCCTCGGTAACTGGATAATTTTCGTGAAACCAAAGATTCGACGAGTCAAAGATTAGACGAGGAAATCGTCGACACTGGGTTCTCGCTTCTTTGAGGAGACCAGCGGGATCGAACAAGGTCCTAAGCACGCTTTAACTCTCGTGCGAATGCCAAAGGCTCGTCGGTGAAATAATAACATAGCCGCTACTTACGAGAAACAAACATAGTGAAAGTATTCCCTCGTCTTTAAATATTAAACCTTGTGTTCACAAAATCGAGCGCAAACAATGATCCTTATGAATGGCGATATATGGATATTGCAAAATTTCTAAAAAAGAAAAAAGAATGAAAAAGTTGAATATTTCGAGTTTAAAAATTAAAAATAATAAGTATCATATGTATAAATGGTATATAATATATTTAAAATGATAGGTTGATGGATTACACTTAAATATTGTGATTTAATTAGAGATTAAATTACCTCTATGAAACAAGTGAAGAAGATATTGTTTTCTGAACAATGATGATTGATTTCATCTATTCATTGCTTTTATAGCATCCCTATATAATATTTTCAATTGCTATTTATCCTTCCTAACAAAAAAAATATAATTGTTTTCTTGCCTTGATAATAATTACGATCTATGCTTGGATCTAATCAACCTGCGAAAACTGTAAAACAATCTGTAAAACCGAACGTTCTTTCTCCAGTTTTCTCATTAACTCGGGATGGCCTCAAGGTTAACATGGTCTGTGAAACACGTATCAGTGGCGGAGATCGAAGAGCAGGAAGTGTCCAAGAATTTCTTCAACCGGAGAAGCTCAGCAGTGGAACAGTCCAGTTTCCTGCTCGGTATACCTTGGTGGCGTGTCGAGCTGCAACTTTGACGCTGTTCGCGCTTCGTGGAGCTCGTAAATTCGAACCGTTGTTCAACGATGTCGTTGCCTGAGAACAAAGAAACGACGTGACGATTCCCTCGATCGGTCTTCCGCTTTGTAATGTTAGACAAACCTTTAACTTTGACGAATGGATCCCGCTACGTTTTCGCGTCCTGAGAAATTGCTTTCTTCGAGATATTCTGTTCTTTTCGTTTCCTTCTTGGAAGATGGCGGTAGGATCGCGAGCTTCAACGCACGCCTTGCGATTAGACCCTCCACGAAGAAGATTTCTTGCCACTTGGCTGTTCCAGCAAGTCTCTCGTTTATCCTCTAACGACTTTAATTTGGCAAAAAACTCGCGCCGCGGCAAGATTTGCCTTCCTCTCTTACGGAAGCTACTGCCTTTCGATTCGAGTCGCGGGAAACCGCGATAAATTGAACAACACTGCGTACGTAATTGCATAACCATTTCTCACATAGTTAATCTTACGAAGTAATATCAATCATGAGATATAAGTTTTATTATTTGTATATTTATAGTTGAACTTTTCATTTATATATTGAATAACAAACACGTTCACATAATCAGATTGTTCATATAATAGAAGTTCATATTACATAATTTCTCTATCAGAAATGATTGATTTTTCGTTCAATTACTAGTTCACGTTCTTCATTTCTTCGTATGTTCATTGGTTGCTTTCAAACTCTTTCATTTTATGATTAAAATTTGTTTCATAATTAATCATTTTCTATCGAAATAATTTTCCATTTCTATTCGTTGTGTTTTCTTCTATAGACGTTCAACATTATAAAAAAATACAAATTTTTATCTATTTTTTCATTTTTGAAAATTTCACATTAAAAAATGTATCATCTGTATATATTTCCTTTTCGAGTAATTTTTTGATTACCTGGTAAAGAAAAAAAAAGTAAAAGATGAACATTTTATAATTGTAAATGGAGGATACGTTGATCAAAAGAACGTGTACCAATTAAAAAAAAAAAAAAACGCTGCCTATCTCGTACCTGCTACTTTACATTTCCGCGGAGAAATCCGAAGCGCCAGACTTAGGTCTTGTAATTTCTCATCAAAACCCGTTGATCAGGCTTGGTTTCTACTATCGCCACCATAGAAGTCGAACGTCTCCTTTCATCGAATGCAGAATCTCTATTTCTTGAAACACGAATTTAGTTTCTCGCGTGTCTCGCTCTCTTTCGCAATTCAGGAATCATGTCAACGAGGAATACACGATTCAAAGAGTGAATTAATATAGTCAATTCTCCTGTAACATGGTCAATTTGTTCTATGTACTGTGTACTGAAATTGTGTTAAGCAAAACTTAAAACTAATACAAATCAAAGAAATGTTAAATATATTACTTACCGGTTGTGAATATATATAACAAATCAATCAGTTTAAATCTGAATTCTTTAAAGAGTTTTAACTGTCATGTAGAAATGTGTGAAATAAAATCTTAAGATACACATTATCAATATTTGTATCATTATCACTTTCTGAGTCAATATATTATAGAAGTAAGGTTAGATAACCGTCTTCGAACTATCAATATCCATTTTTATTATCATGTTATCCAACAAATAATTAGAATATGACAAATAATCTGAAAATACTCACTTTCATTTCAAGATTCATTTTTGAAAATCAGAAAATTGTTATAATAACTTTGAAAAAATAAGTAAAACTATTATTAACTACCGCCTGTAACAGATTTAGGAAAAAGCCAATGAATTTAGCCAGTCGATTTATAACTTACCGATATTAATGTTGAGTATAAAATCTATTAATCGGCTGGTGATAAATAAATTTATTAATAGGATGTATTATATAGGATTATCACAATTTTTGCACTGTTTTATGATATCATATAAAACATTTTCAAGATATCATGTTATAAAAGAGTCAATTATAGTTGAATTTGTATTTTGTGTCAGTTGTAATTTAGTTTGAGCGAATTCATTTAGATGAAAGTTGAATCTCTATCACAATACATACCTGAAGGTTAGAATTCAATGCTTCCATAATTAATTTCTGATGAGTTGTCGAGCGGCACTTTATAATTATATATATTCAAGGAGAAACTGAGTACAGAAACAGAGGCATAGTCAAGACTTTTCATTAGATTTTGATTCAAATTTGTTTTTCTCAGCTAATATATTTCGATCAAATTCGGATTTAAACTGTTTAAAATTCATTGTATTTCATAACCTCGCCATTTCGCGATTTGCACGTTGATTCTGTGAGACATATTCTCGCGAGAAACGCACAAAAGTTTCGATCTATCTTTCGAAAATAATGTTTCTCTTTCTATAGAGAATGAATTTAGTACCTTCGTTAACTACTTCACAAGCACAAGATATTTTGTAAAACAATATCGTCACAAAATGTTACGAAAATAAAATATCGAATTTGAATGTCGTTTATCGAATTAATAAAGAATATTATTCTATATAAAAAAAAATCTGTGCAATTTTATCAATAGCTGAATACTTTATTGAATAGAATAACACTAGAATCGATTCTTGTCCTAATAAACTCGCGAGTTACCTCGTTCGTGGCATAAGAACTCTATTGCATCGCGAAATATCTCGTCCGTGGTTAAAATAGAAACGAGCTCTTCGGCAACGGTTGCACATAAAATTTTGGCCCTAATTTATATCGCACCACCTGTTAGGTGTTTGCAGCTGCCTCCTCGTTATTACGAGAATAATAAAATTCGTTCACGGCGTAGAGCATATACGAAAGCTGTTTTCGCAGGTGCTATTTCGACGAGATGAATACTATTATACAATTTCGACTTTTTTTGCTTCTCTTATCACCGCGCATATCTCGTTAGAATTTGTTTCTAATCTTAAAAGTAATTTTGATCGCGTAATTTCTCGTAACGCGAATAAACTCGTCGTTGCATAATATTTTGAACCATCGAATCGGAATTAAAACAAAACGAGTTGCTTGCGAGGAGATCGAATCAAAGGTATAGCACGAATCAAAGGTAATATCGCGACGAGAATTGCTCAAGACGGCCGATATATTGCGTTTTCCAAGACAAATTAGAGTGGAAGGTAGATGCGATTTGTTGAACGAAGGCGTGCGATCTTTACGAGAATCGTGCATACGTGCGCGGAAAGAAGGGAGCGTGGGAGTTCGACCTGGGCTCGACCAGGGAAATCGAGATCACGTGTATACCAATGCAGCCACGACGAGTACACATTGCGTTCACTTCCTTCAGTTCTGAACTTGTTTCCTAGCATTTACGTTTATTACGTAAACCTGCCTTTGTCCGCATTTCTCCCGGTGACCCGATCGAAAACTTCCTCATCGAGGAAAACTTGCAAACTAACCTCTCGCGATGCAACAAAAGTCGCAATTTTGTCCCGCCTGATGGCGCAACTGTAAATAAATTCGATATAATAAAAACAGTGATTGCGACGCGGTAATTATAGTGAGGCGATTCTCGATGCTATTGGCGAGTCTCGCTTGAAAATTAGAGCTCTTGGATAAACGAAACTTCAAATAACCACCAATTATCACGATCTCCCGTTGCTCGAGAACGATTGCCTTTCCCTTTGAAGAGCGCCATCTCGTTAAAGCCTTCGTCAAAGCAGTTTCCTTTCCATAGATTCGCCGCGCTATACTTTCATTCGTCCTGTCATTCATCGTGAAACGAATAGTTAATATCAAAGAGGATTGAGCACGGTTCTGTTTTCCCCTTTGTTCGGTGTACACTCGAAGGAACGTCAGATAGATCTGTAATTAGAACGTAGATAACGCAATTTCATTCGGTACAATCTGACCACAATCGTTGGCAATTCTATCGGTATTTGCCAACCTACATACCTAGACCGTGGTTCTCACTTGTCGGAGAAACTTGTGGTGAGACTTATCACAGGACACGAGTAAGCCGTTCCGCGACGTCGATCTCGCGACCAGTTTATCGAGTGAAAAGCATCGATGTTGATACTTGGAACGCTGCGAAGATAACCTGGCTAGGCTGGAAAAATTCTGAAATGGAACGCACGCGAACAGTGTAAGGACTTTATCGGCCAAGGTATCACAGATTTTTGTCCATGGTATGTGCTCTCTACATAATCTGGCCAATCCAGGTTAATACCACTAATAATTGCATCGATGATCTCATGCTATTCGATGTCGTAAAATTTTTCCCACTGCAAAATCAATCTAGCTGTTAATAGTTTTATGCTCGTCGATAATTAAATCGACGTGCAACATACTTTCCGCTCGGAAATATTCACGCGAAATAACCACGATGATTGCCTGAACAAAAATAGATATATTTAATTATGGATATTATTTTACAGAGAAATTAAGATTAATTCGATTTTGATTTGATTTGAACAAAAGTTTGTATGTATGTAAAGAATAATAGGTTATATATTTTTCAATTTAAAATTCAATTTGTTTTATTTCATACCATTATAGAATTATATTCAAAAAGCAAAAAAATGCGTTGATTTAAAATAATATTCGGTTAAAAATGATTTTCTAATATACTCTCCAACAACGATGTTCATTTGTCGATTCTTTCGCTTCATCGATCCTTTGTACAAGCAAGTTCTTCCAGAACTCGTGACACACGTTCCCAAACACGGGTCGTTCGCGCAATGGAAAAACGGCCCTGTTATAAAAAGAAACAAGGCTCGTGCGATTAACGGCGATGCTTTCACCGTTGTTCTTAAGACTTAGAGATCGAAAGAGCTAAGAATCGAAAGAGTGGCTTGGCAAGAGCGTTGGCCGCGCAACTTCGCTTTCTAGAGGTTATGATCATCAGGTTACAACAAGTAATTTCAAAACGGATCATCGAAATATCGTTCGTTAAACAATTTAGATGAATTTTTTGACCCATAAAATATTTTATTGAATCGGTAATAATTAAAGGCCTCAAATATACTCACATATTACTCATTTACTATATATAATAAAATAATTTAAAAATTTTTTGAAGTAATCGATTCATTGTGACATTACAAGTTATTAATTGCAAATGAAATGACTAAATTTATAATATTGGCATTTATAGTTTTGAAAATAATATTAAATTGAAAATAATATTAATCAAGATTTGATACAAATTAAATATATTTTGTATATCCAAAAGCAAAATTAAACTAATTATCATTCATTTGCAACAATTAATGCTATTTTATTGGTTCAATGTGTTCAAAGGTGAGGATTAATATCAAAGTATAGACATTTGGAGAATAATTTGAAATGCATATTGACCCATATGCATTTTCACAATTTTTCCTAGACTTTTTCTAATTTAAGAATTCGTCATTTGCAGGGGTAAATACGCGACAGTGAAGAGATGTCGAGAGAGATCCAGCGGAAGACAATGGGCCGCAAAATTTCTACGGAAGAGGAGACGAGCGCAGGAATTAAGAGCGGAAGCGCTTCACGAAGTCGCGGTGCTGGATGCTGCGGCGAATTGTTCCCGCCTGGTATCCTTACACCAAGTCTTCGAAACGAATACGGAGATGGTCCTGGTTTTGGAATTGTAAGTCATACCGATTCTTCGCATAAATAATAATTTTCTTTAAATCTTCAAATCGAATTTCTAGAAAACGTATCGTTATCGTATTCGTGTAAATACATTTAAAAATAAAACTCTCGAAACTTGCTCTCTAAATATATAAGAACGATTATCCGATATTTTTATTCTCAACAAGAGAAAAATAATTCTTTGCAATAATTTATAAGAGTTTTCAAAAAAATTTATTTTCAATTAAATTATCATAAGTTTTAAACGTGAAATTGTTTGATTTAAATAATTTTTTTTTTTTATTTCATTCAAAGGGCACCCGGCGGTGAATTACAAATGATATTGGA